CAGGCTAGTAGCCTAGAACTTGAAATTATAAGCCTTGAAACATCATTAATTATATTTAAAAAAATGTGTTTAATGAGGTTTTGTAAAGTTATACCTGAGCATATTCCAGTTTTCTTTTCTAATGTTCCTAACATTTCCAAACTGTCTCCTTCAATAAGATGATGGGTCAGAGGAAGCCCTCCTCTAGCAGGCCACTATAGTCACTCTTATTTTATAAGATTAAGGTATGAACAGTCAGGATATCAGAGTAAAATTCATGCAAAAATAGCTGGACTAGAAATATTATCCAAGTCAGCTGTATCTTCAGTTTCATCCTACAATCAGAATTCCTGACAATCCATACATCCATAGGGAATAACATTGTAAGTAAAGCTGGATCCCAGCTAATCAAGTATCGCAATCAATGGCAAATAACGGCACCATTGAACAGTCAGTAATCCGTCCGCTATCTCCGACATTTATTGATATCACTGCACCATGAAAGGTCCATACAACAGGTCTCTGCACCTAAAGATTGGTGGTCTATATTTAGGAGAAGCTTGCTTACCGGATTGGCATGAAGTTAAATATATTTGGCATTCCCGGGCAGTAACACAGGAAGCAGCCAAGGCAGACTTGAAAGACAATGGCTATCACCAGAACTTTATTTCTGTAGAGAAAGATAAACCCATTAACATTCCTCAAGGGTGACTTACCATTACAAACAAACATTCTGAAATTGTTACGAAACAGAATTTCAACAATGAAGGTTGTCCAGATTTTTAAAAATAGTTTTTCCCATTTAACATGATGGTATATCATAGAACATGGAACGGTTTGAGACAGGTATATTTTGCTATAGCTAATATGTACCTGAAGAATCCTTGCTGGAAAGCAGAGAGCCGACGCGTTTTTCTGATGAGGACATCAGAAATCTGACACACCTCAATACTAATGAAGAATACAGTGTAACAGGTATACTGCTGGTACAATCTCTGGCTGAATGTCTGAAAGAGAAAGACATTGACATCCAATACATCACCATGTTGATCATTTCAGTAAAAAGGTCAACAATATATTAGTACTTGGAATCTTCTTTTTATATTATTTATAAAAAAACATTTTCTGGTTGGCATTATTTGAGAAGGAATATCTAAATTAAAAACATAGATACTTTAATATATCGAATTAAGGTAACTCAGGGTATATATAGATTTGAGGGCTAGGACACGTGGGCAGATATAGACTTCAAAGTTAATCTAAGGTTTAATGTCTGTTTTTTGTTTCTCTTTAAATGCTTGTTTTAACTACTTTAGCTAAACTACCCTTAACATGTCCCTTCCCTTCACCTCCAACATAAAGTCTTGATGGAGGAATGGCATATATTGTGTGGGATTATAGCATGTTGTGAGCCCCTATCTCCTTTGGTTTCATTTCCGTAGAACACGAATGGTAGCTTTGTCCTTCGAGAAGTTCATAGCCTCTCAGCATTGTCCATGCAATGACAAATTATTATAAAATATTTTATTATGGTGTGGGTTCTTCAGACAAGCCCATACTGACTTTAGATCATTACTGGGGAGAGTAACATATGTTATACTTTTAAAGCCATATACTTTTTGTATTTGTCTGTATATTGTATGTTCTCCACTAATTGTGCAGCACTGCGGAATCTGTTGGCGCTTTATATATTGGTATTTACCAGTAATAGATAAATAAATATGTCAGTCCAACTCCTAATGAGCTACAGCACCTCTAATCCTTCGTTAGTCAGCTGTTGTACATTGAGCCTTTAAGACACGTAGGGAGGAGGTGATATTCCAGAATGTAGACTCTTGGTAACTTTCATTCTTAGATATTGTGATTCTGCCTTTCTGGTCAGCAAACAATGCCCTCAAGTTCATATTTTTGGATAAACTTTTTAAATAAAATAATATTTTTGGAGAAACTTTTCAAATGATTTAATATTTTTTGAAACAATTTTTAATAAATTTCAAAAGTATATGATATATAAAATATATAATCAAAATATGCAAATATTACAATATTTTTTAAATATTAGATTATTTTAAAAGCTTATCCAAAAATATAAACTCAAGGCTTATATTTCCCATTGTAATTACTTTCTTAAAAAGCTCAATATCACCAGACAGAAGAACTTATAGTAAAATCGCACCCATTCCTGTCCGTAGCTGTCCTGCAGGTCCTGTAAATGCTGATCTTCCCATTGGGCACGAAGTCCCAGGCAGTACGCAGGATACCAGCCCTCCTGCGCCATGACGGTAAAATAATCAGCAAAGCCGGCAAATGACTGAATTACACCTGAAAGAGTTTGGGATAATGAAACAAATATCAATAGTAAACTGGAAAAATGGGATTTGTATCTCTGCATTAAATAATAAATAACTGTGTCATTCACTAAACTTGCGTCCATCAAGTTCAGCCTTCCTCACATTTGTTTTTTGTTATTGATCCAAAAGTAGGCAAAAAAAAACCAAAAAACAACCCAGTTTGAAGCATTTCCGATTTTGCAATAAACTAGGAAACAAATTCCTTCTTGACCCCAGAATGGCAGTCAGATTTATCCTTGGATCAAGCAGCTATTACCCTAAATAATTTCAAAGTAAGTTTAAAGTTTTAATAGACAAATTGGAAACTTTCTCTCAGTCAGCTGTATTTTTCTGTAAATCAATTGTAGCCTAAAAATTGTAAATAGCTTTTGGGCCAGAAGGTAATGATGTTCCATGCAGAGCTGTACGTAACACGAAGTATAGGGATTCCTTGTGTCTGACAACTTACCGATCTGGAAATAGGAATAGACAGCCAGAGCCTCATTTACCAAACGGTCCCTGCGCGGGTTTCTGGGCTTCAGGTGCATGATGTCACTCTCTGCCTTTTCGTATGCCAGAGACACAGAGGGGAACTGCAGAGAGGGACACAAAAAGTTTAACTTGTACTTAAAATATGTCATATAATGCCCCAAAAGAATATAGCACCTTCCGGGTAAATATTGCGCTAACTCTTTGGAGTCAGGGCTCTCTCCACAAATAGTTAATATTGCACTAACTCTCCAGAGTCATGGCCCATAGACAATTGTCCTCTGTCTCAGCAACATTTATGTCACAAAATGTGGTCATTAAAAAATACCTGAGGTTACTCAATACCATAACATGATAGTGACAGTACAGAAATGTATTATTTTCCTATTTTTAGGAATGGTCTTCCAAGTGTTCCAGTGTGAAATGTCTCTTCACAGGCATGTGCAAGGAGTGGGACACCCTAACAAGGGTGTGATACTACATTTAGGTCCCACCTCTGAATTTCAAGTTAAACATTGCTGGTAATATAAAACAAGACATGCAGGTTTGGTAAGAGTTAGCACTGAATAAACGTGGCCTTTGATAACGCATTCACTGGGTGCGCCCGCTAGTGACATGCGCTGCCAATGGTAATGTAGTTCATCCTCGTAGGTGGGCCTGCTTGGACATCCACTATGTTCTAACAACTGATTGGCCAGCGCCTGACAACCAATCAGATACTGATTTTTCCTGTCAGTAGTGGCGTTTGCCTGTCGCTGTCATTGACACATTTTGACACAATGTAATATGGCTTCTCTGGACCAGCATTGGCTAACAGACATGAGTGAGGCCTGTCTCTATAGATAGTCAACCAGCACGGCATATAACATTCAGCTTGCACCAACCAACTATTAGCAACTCTGTGGATGTTAAAATTAAGGGATTGACGGACCCCATGAACAACTGTTAGTAGACGGCCTTGGTATACTAGGCAACCCCCACTAACCAACCAACAAGGTGACACAATGACCTGTTTGTTATGAAGGAATATCGTTCAAGTGCAATACCATGATTGTCAATGTCAATGACCTATTTAATGAAAAGCATTACTGTACAACTGTAATTTGATGATTAAAACCTTCCCCCCCCACCTCCCCTCTTTACTTTCTGTACCCCTACCCTCTTATATACGACAAAATAAAAATTGTCTAATTGGAAAAAAAAAAATTAAGGGATTGTGTCCCGAAATGGACAATTGTTGAAAATTCGCATATGAAATGTAAAAATTAATTAAATATAACTGAGCCGAATCTGGCACTCACTATGTGTTGTAACACTGCTATTTTAGTCTACCTGCAGTGAATTGTTAGCCATGTTACCACAAGTCATCGTTTAGTTACTAACCCCCTATGTCTTGACTGCACACAGTGCCTGAAAGTGATACAGTTTGTCAGGGTTATGGATGTACCATATGTCATGCAGGCTAATCCCAGACGTTAGTAAAGTCTCAGCAGGAAATAGATTAAATAAAAGATTTGAAAAATCCTAAAAGGCTGACTCAACCAGATGGGTCCCTACTCACAATGTCCGTAGCCAGCTCAATAAACAAGATGGTGATGCAGCCTAGGGGTAGGGGCACACTGGCTGTTATGTAAATCAGATATGGTGCCAGTTCTGGGATGTTCTTGGTCAGAGTGTAAGCAATGGATTTCTTTAGGTTATCAAAGATCAGACGACCTGGGGTGGAACGAAGACATATTATCAGTCAATTAATTAAACCATAATACCAGTTTTATATAAAAAAAAAAACATGTTTATGTGCTAGCGCAGGGGTCCTCAAACTCCAGCCCCCAGATGTTGCTGAACTACAACTCCCATGATTCTTTAAATTACATGGATATCCAGTGAATCATGTTGTAGTTCAGCAACATCTGGGGGGCCGGAGTTTGAGGACCCCTGTGCTAGCTGCTCAGGTGAGATTGGGGAAATGTTCCCAAAGTGCAGCAGTAACCATGGAAACCAACAGACACTTCATTGAGATCATTCTATATTTAGGACCTTGTCCCAGAATTGCTGTTTATGCAGGAACCCCATTATTTATTAAGGTATTACTTTCTGAAAAGAGGTACAAATTTCACAAAATGTGCCAATGATCACTGCATTGTGCAAAGTTTGCCCCACATTTCCAGGAACAACACATTTCTAATACTCCTTTTTAGAAATGCGTGAACTTCAGGGCTTTCATTTGTGCTGTGGCTCGTGTGTATTGTTTTACATAGAAGCAATAATGCTAAATAATTTTATAAGTCACTTAGTTTAGCTGTAGAGATAAGTCTTTCAAACACAAATGAAAAAATAGGTTTCTAGAAATATTGACATAAATAATATTGTGAAATTTGGAACCTACGTAAACCTTAAATTGACGTTTCTCTGTTGATGTAATTTCATATCTTAACTAGATGATATTAATCGATCATTTTCTGGCCTGAACCAGGTGACATACAGCATAACTGAATGCAGATACAGTGGATGACGTGCACCGATCTCCTCTTACCTTGCTCCACTCCTGTGACAATGGAAGCGAAGTTATCATCCAAAAGGATCATATCAGCTGCATTCTTTGCAGCATCAGATCCCGCAATTCCCATCGCAACCCCAATATCGGCTTTCTTTAGAGCAGGAGAGTCATTGACACCATCCCCTGTTACAGCCACGATGGCACCCTACGTGAAGACAGAAACATTGAGAAGAGATGTCTTTTCGGGTGTTAGGTCACAGCAGAGAGTACTTTAGGGACATTGACACAGTTTGTTAGAGAGAAACATGAATTTAGGAAATGATACATTATAGATTAGGGATGTCTATCTGTGGATTTTCAGATTGTCCATGAATAGACTTCCATGTTGTAGAACCTTATCATTGCAACTGGCAAATAATTTAGATTAATCTAAATTCTAGGACACAAACACGCACCATGCAACAGCTTCCCAAAGTTCAGCATTAAGAAGGAGTGAGCTTGGGTTTTGTGAGTGTCCATTTTACTATTATGGGATTTACCAGCTTTTGGCAGCTCTCCACGATGATCAGTTTCTGTTGGGGGGAGGTTCTGGCGAACACCATTTCAGGGTGCATCTTCAAACATTCCACCAGCTCTTCAGTGGACATGTCCTTCAACTGCCCTCCGTTAATCACACAGGCCCGGGCATCACTATAGAATAAGCATTCAATTATAACATGCAACTATATGCAGCATTAGATACGACCACATGAATCATTCCCAGATTTACACACGGATCAGTAATATTTTAATTGCTTCCAAGTGTTTGTGATTACCACCTCAACAGAAATACTGCTCCAGGTATCTACCAAAAGTCAACTGAGCTTCCAATGGTAAATGAGTCAGATGCAAACATACACAATGCTGACTCTACATTGGGACATAAAAATATGACAAACTTCTATACCCACGGGCACTGTTAAACACAATAGGACAGGTGTAGAGAGCCCCAAATAATATGCTTAGTATCCAAACCAAAGATTTTAAGGTGTGCAACTGTCATCAAATATGTTTATTAAAGTTATTTTGCTATCAAGTGACAGTGGAGGTGGTTTTGATGTTGCCATTTTACAACAGAAATAAAGGGGTCAATCTTTATAATAATATATTTAACTATTATAAAAACACATTGCGGCCTCCTTGAATTTTGGGGTATATTTTTCCGAAATCTGGATGCAAGTTGTTCAGAATCTACTGAGAGATACAGATTGCATTCTGTATTTCCAGCTAGCTGATGGCCTGGTCTGGTGCCCTGTATGAAGAGGCTCATTGCTCGTACCGTTTGTTCACTTGTTCCACAGGGATTCGCAGGCGGGCAGCAATGTCCTCTACGGTCTCACTGCCCTCTGAGATGATGCCCACACTGGCTGCAATGGCCTTAGCTGTGATTGGATGATCGCCAGTCACCATAATTACCTGGGAAACAAGCAAAATAAGTTTAATCATATTTCTTCATTCTTCCAATTTCTCATTATTTAAAGTTCTATGTCTCACTTTTCTCTGTTTATTTCTTATTCGCAAGTTTTCTCTCTCATTATCTCAGTCCTGTCTCTTACTCTCTGTCTCATTCCTTCTCTTTCTGTTAATGTCTCTTTTTCTCCCTTCTCACTAGACTGGATTTGTCTAACATTTGGTAGCGTACTCACCTCCTTGCGATCCATGCAGCCCTCCTCCTGCCGGCAGCGCAGCATACTCACCTCCCTCGAGCCACGCAGCCGTCCTCCTGTCTGCACGGCAGGACATCCTTAAAGAGATAGGAGGCATGACGTCACGCCCAGTCTTAAAATGACCACGTCACCATTGCGACCCTGATCCAATTTGAATCGCAATGATGACGTCACGTGGACCAATCTGAACATAGGTAAGAATATTTAAGGCTTGTTTTAGCCCCCATTCATTGCCCTATCGTGGTTTCTTGTTGGATCCTCGTTAGCGCTCCTAGTGATTCCCTTGTGATTTCCTGTGTTTGACCTCGGCTTCGTGTTTCACTTTGTGATTTCTGGCATCCTGAGCCAGCTTCGTATTTGACTTGTGATTTTTGGTATTCTGACCCGGCTTTGTATTCGACTTGTGATTTTCTGGTATCTTCACCCGGCTTCGTATTTGACTCTGTGTATTCTGTTTTCTTGACCGTGTTTCTATTTATATTTAATATGTCCGGCCATTCTAAGACTCGGTAATACGTCTTTCGAAACCACCTTTTGTGGGATTCCTTTTTCCTGTGTTAAGGTACGACTCCCGTGACACATTTTCACTTTATTCTCTGGTTCTGTTGGGTTGGGTTATTGCTCACTTTGGTCTTGATTACAGTTTTTGATTTTTATTTACATATTTATTTATACATTGGTATATTTTTTTAATATATATATATGATACATTTTCTTATTTAATTTAATTATTTAAAAAGTTAATCCAAAAATATTATATCTACGTCTTAGTTTAAACGGCATCTTTTTATTTTCATTTAAAGAACCTATAATATAATCCCTGCTACTTACCCGAATTCCTGCAGTCCTACATTTCATGACAGCATCGGGCACGGTGGCACGAGGTGGGTCAATCATGGAGATAAGTCCAGCAAAACACAAGCCACTAGTTGGGAAATTCATATCTTCTGTGTCAAAATTAAAGCCACGAGGGAATTCCTTCTCATTCAGATAAAGATGGCAGAATCCTGCGAATAATAGAGGAATGAGGAACTCACTTAATAATAATAATAATATATATTTAAACTATGTATATAAAGGAATACTAAAAGATATATCTTTAAGATGTATGAAAATACATGTTTAAGAATACATTCAGCTTTTATGGCCACCTGTATTTTTCTGGCCTTACCCAGCACTCTCTCTCCCAGACCACCGAGGTCCATGTATGCAGTCTGGAAGGCCTCTTGCCACTGTTCATCCAGAGGCAGCTCCTGACCTTTAATCATGATCGTGGAACATCTTTCCAAGATTCTTTCAGGGGCTCCTTTCATCACTAGAAGGTAACGGAGGTCCAGAGGGTCCTGAAGCTCATGAATAGATAACTGGAGAGAGAGAGAGACATTTATTTGTAGATCGTAATCATTTCTAGATTTAAGCTCATCAAAAACATCTTGTTTCTAGTTAAAACTTGATAGTTGTTTTCTGTTATATTCCCACATGAAAATTGTAAAACATCATCAAAAATGTTGGCACTATCTAACTAATAATAGTGATAATAATAATAATAATAATAATAATAATAATAATATTATTATAACACTCAAATGATTACAATTTGTTTTCATGCTAGTTTATTATACAAGTGGGCATTCAAAGCCATTTTTCCTGGTAAAGTGGAATATCTCAGCATCACTTGCCCTTGCTCACCTGAAACTTGTTGGTTGAATTAAATGGAACCTCTGTAACCTTCTTGAACCGTTCTCGATACTCCATTACATTGCCGACTGTCAGCTCTGAAAACTTCAGGAGGGCCGTCTCAGAAGCATCTCCAATGACGATCCTCTGTGAGAAAATACCAGGGCTATTAATATGCTTTAATTAGTTGTCTTCAATTGTCTGTTCGTTGGCACTAAATGGAACAGCAGTGAGATTCGATCACTCAGTGGACTTTTTTTTTGATGGACTGTAGAATGTGGTACTGGCTGCTGCCTCATTTGACCAAATTCCATGAAAACAATTTACTTCTCTTTCTGCAGAATATTTGTGTTCCAACTTCCTACCTTTGGTATGGGCACTCCGTCCTGTCCACCTCTAAAGGCTGCTCGGTTGCATAGGGTGACTACCTTGCTTAGCGCTCTCCAGGTGTCTGATGTCTGGTCAAAACTTTGACCTAAAATATTGAAGACTCAGAAATTACAACCTAAACTTAGACAAGGTAAAATATGAACAAGACATGGGCCTATGAACAAATCATATTGTGGAGTAATATTTTCTGTTGCTTTTATCTTTAAAACCTTAATTTTATCAAGGAATGTCACCTGATTGATCTTCTGTGGTGTCCGCTGAGTGGATATGATTATCAAACCACAAGTGAGATACAGTCATCCTGTTTTGGGTCAGTGTTCCTGTTTTGTCTGAGCAGATCACGGATGTAGAACCCAAAGTCTCCACAGCTTCGAGATTCTTCACCACACAGTTTTTACGGGCAAGACGCTTAGCTGTGAGCGAGAGACATACCTGCCACAGGAAGGATTATGTAGTTAAAAAATATTACCATTTATGCAAAATCACCACTTATAACTTCTAGCACATCAAATATTTCAATTTCTTAAGCGTTAGAGTCAAACCACTTCCATAGGGGACAAGATCTAACGTTAAGTAATTTTTCCGGAGATAATTTTAATGTTGCTTTCATCATTGCAAATTCTAGTTTAATCATCAGTGATTAGTGAAAACTAGACTTGCGCACGGTCGGAAAATTTGTTTTTTCCAAATAAATGTGTACAGAATGTTTTGTATTTTCGGGTAGACTGATATTTATTCATGTGGCGGGCGGTTCAGCTTTTCCAAACATCATCTATGCAAAATATTTGTAAAACCGATTCGGACAAACAAAAATGGCAAAATATAAATAGTATGTATAATAAATAATAAATATTATATATATATTTTCCCACATTTGGTTCACAGATCAAGTCAGAAAATCTAACCAATAGAGGGAAAAAGAATAGGAGCAGGAAAAAAATTATATTTATATATTGCATAATTATTAAATATATAATATATAGATGTACATTTCCTTTTTTACTGCTCCTTCATTTTCCCTCTAATAGTCCCTTCCCACTTGATCTGTGAATAAAAATCAACATTCAGTAGCTGTCTCCTAACCATCAATCATCTCCTTTTTTATGCGCCATGGACGGTGTGACGAACTGAGCCTCGTCACGGGTTCTTGGAGGGGCCTGCTGGCCAGCCTCTTACCAAAAGACTATGGGCCCTTTACTAACTATGTGAACAGACTTGGTTTGTGGAATTTTCTATTTGGTTCGCGAACCGAACAGCCACACGAACTGGAGACCCTGGAGTTTGTTAAGCCTAATTGCTACTTTATAGCAATTTCCACCTCAGTGTTCTAAGTGTTCGTCTGGGTGCCGCAATTCCTATGGACAACCATGAGGTGGCGGCCATCTTGTTCGCATGAAACCAGGCAGTGGTGTTTGGTCATCGAGTTCATGGAACTATTTTCGGACACTGAAACTCCCGAACACCGCTGGACTTCCATGATCGCCTGTATTCGGTGTAATAACACCTAGGAAGACACTGTTTGGTGGAAACGTTCCCACGAACAAGGGGAACAAGCTCCAGGGTAAGAACATTGAATATGTTTGGTAGTTTGTTTGTTTTTAAACTACCGAACTAGACCGACCGCAAGCCCTGATTCTCTGGAACTGTTTTGGGCATGAGACCATGCGGGCGATCAAATTACGACTTCCAGGAAATTCCTGAACCCCTAAACCAATCTGAGTGATTTTTGGATATGTTGGTCACCCAGATCGAGGCTATCAGAGGATGTAACCTTTGTGGGGATTTTGTGTGCCTCAAGGTATTTTGGGGTTTCTGTGCCTGGAGATAATTTAGTTTAATACAGTGCTGACTCAATTATCTCCCAGGCATAAGGCAGGGATTGACCTATTTTGTATGGGAGTGTCCTGGACCTGAGAGCCAAAGTAATCACGTGTATGTTTTTACTGTAGTCTCTCATGTCCATTGGGACCTGCATACAAGGCCAGTTGTGGCTGCCATTAAAGACATTCGTTTTACCCTTCATGAAGTCTAGGCTCATGTTTGGGGGATTGGAGAGCTATATTCACTCTGGGGATTGCTATAATCACTATTGGATCACGATTGCTCTTGTAAGAGCAGTTCCTGCTTCACTCTCTGGACTAGGAAAGGTCTACCCACTGGAAGCTGGATCCTGGTCTTGGGTCCAGGGTGGGTGGAGGACAGCGAGATCCCAACCAACCTGTGCGGTTTGTGGGGTTTAAGGTGGTTATGGTGTCCGGTGCAGTGCTTATGGTACTCAAGGATTACTAGAAAGCAGCAATTGATGGGGGTACCCATTCGGGGTACAAGGCGGTCCATCACAGATGGATTTGTGGATCACGAAATAAATGAACATGCTCGTCCATTGCCTGGTTTGTTAGTTCATGAAACGTCCATAAGGCGCTTCAGAGTTATGGAATTCAGATTAACCGCCAATTGCCAAAAATGTCATGAATCCCAGTTTGTTTGAAACCACATGTACAAGTCTAGTGAAAACCCAAATTTACACTTTGTGGGACATTTTCAACCATCTCCATGAGCAATTTTATCTCCTGTTACCAGTGTGGCAAAAACATTCAGTTGCAATTATAAAAGGAGATTTTAAGTGTTTGCTCATCCTCAGTCATAAGATTCCACAGCATTCAGTACATTTTACCATAAATATTATTTATAAAGAGTGATTGTAAGGCAAAGGTTTTACAATCTTTAGACGTGTGTAAAGAAAAGCTACCACACATCATTCAGGGGATCTGTCCTTTCGTCGAGCGAATCTGTTGATGTCTTACAGTAGGTAGAAACCAGAGATTTTTTCTGATTATAAATTGATTTAAAAAAAAGGAAATGATGATATCAATGATCCCCAGTGATATATATCATTCTATTATCGAATGTTTTGGTATTTTTGTTATGAATTGGTATCTTACCGTGACAGTAGCCAGAAGACCCTCAGGGACATAGGCCACCACTATAGCCATGAAGAACACCATAGCTCTGAGGAATGGATACCCAATCACCATAGCAACAACAAAGAAGGTGGCTCCAAAGAAGATGGCAAGTCCAGCAATGATATCCACAAAGTGCTCAATCTCAATGGCTATGGGCGTTTTCTCGTTACCCACACCTGATGCCAGACTTGCAATGCACCCAATGATGGTACGGTCTCCTGTGTTGATTATCACCCCTGTGGCAGTACCTGTGGTTTGGTAGACTAAAAGTTAGTGGCTTGGAAAAAAAAAACACCCAACGCTCTAGTGAAAGCAATATTCCAAACTGATTTATTCTCCCCAAAATTATATTCACCTTCCAGGCACATAGTGGAGAAGAAGGCTATGTTTCTGGTTTCCAGTGGGCTCTCATGGGTGTATTCTGGGGACCGAGTTTGAGGCTCAGACTCTCCTGTCAGAGAGGAGTTATCCACCTATTGAAAAAAGTATAGATGATGGATTATGGAAGCTTGGTTATCGACAGACAGAGCAAAATATTTATTATCTTTAAAATAAGCAACTGATTCAGAGAATCTCCTGGGAATTCACACTGCACTCAATAACTTTGTGTGTGATAATACAAAAATAGTATCTGGTTATGGAGACACTTTAATTCTGTACCTTGCATCCCTGTGCTGTTATAATCCTTATATCGGCTGGCACGCGGTCACCTCCTTTGATCTCCACCAAATCTCCAACTACCAGCTGGTTGGCATTAATCTGAGACTTTTCCCCATCTCGCACCACAGTGGCTTGCTGTGATAGAAGAGAATCGCTTGATGAAATTATATGAATGTCATCAGTGCATTTCTACCAATACAACTCAATTTCTTTTTCTGTCTTTCTTAATAAATTTACTTTTTACCAATGTAAAATGGTATTTGTCCTCAAAAATAGATCACTGTCTATATGACCACCAGGAGGCAGTGTTTGCAATGAACCAGAGATACCAACTAACTCAGTGTATGAATAAAAGAAGTGAATGTTGGCGTAGAGAACCATCAAGGCTGATATAATGAATAAGTTGAGTGCTTTTTCTCCTATACCTGTGGGACTAGATTCTTGAAGCTAGCGATGATGTTGGTGCTCTTGAATTCCTGGTAATAGCCAAAGCAACCTGTGACCACGACAACCATAATGAGGGTAACGGCGAGATACAGCTGGAAGACAGAGAGATGGCAGTGAGATGGGTTCATTGGAGATTGGATGGTTAGAGGACCGTATGGTCAAAGGGCTGTATGGACTGTGTGTACTCACATTGTCCGCACTGGTGAGGTCACCTTCTGACTCCTGAATACCAAAAGCAATCAGGCAAATACTGGCTGCCACCCACATCAGGCACTGCAGCCCCCCTGCCAACTGACGGGCAAACTTCACATACTCAGGGGTTCCTTTGGGGGGTTTCAATTCGTTCGGGCCATCCCGAAGCAGCACCTCCTCAGCATAGCTGGTCTTCAGACCCTGGAGTAAGACAGGAGGCCCATCTTATATTTTATAACAGAAGGTTATATTCTTACATTTATTTATATAAACTAATTTAGGGAATGGCATGCATGGCAGTTAGAATCTGTGCCCGGCCATGCACCGAGGCAGGGAGCATCTAAAAACATCATTTCAACATTGTGGTCCCTCTGTTACCTTGACAAAAAAAGTAGTTTTTAGCTTAAAATCTTAAAATTCCCAAATTGCTCCACACCTGTTGATTATTTTTGTGCCTCCCCCTCCCCCCCATGGCTGCTGATGTCCTATATTTTAATGTCATCCTCTTCCAACGACCCCTGGCCTTATCAATGGCAGTTTTGCAATAAGTAAGGATCCAGTGATAGTTCAGGAAGGGCTTGTATCCATGACTTACAATGGCATCATGCTTCATTCAACGATCTTCGCATACTCACCCTGGACACGTTTGTCGAATATTTTAACTCTAATTCTTCTATAGAAATCTCATGATCATTCTGCAAAGAGAAAATAATTTGTATTTTATTTTATTATTTTCATATATCAATGATAAACATATTTTAAAGTGATGGACCAACTAATCCATTTTGTATTGTCTTTACCTCTCCACACAAGGGGAGGAAGATGGGGGTAATTTGCTGAGCACCTCCTTTATGATATCTAATCATTTCCATGGAAGAAGGGCAGTTAGCTAAAATGCTGTGATATAAGGGAGGCTTTAAAAAAGCAAGATTGTATCATATTGAGCAGCCTCATCTTGTCCTCCGATCAAAGTCCTGATTCTACCCCCATTTCCCCCCCAAATTCTGACACTTTCACCATCTCCTCCCAGATCCTGATTCTCCCCTCACCCATTTCCTCCCAGATTCTTTCCTCTCCCATCTCCCCCAGAACCCGATTCCCCCCCCATTCTCCTCTAAAGCCCCCAGTTTCTTACAATGTCCATCTCTCTCTTCATGTTTTCCATTCGATCCTTCTTTTTGCCTTTGTCTTTCTTCTTGATCTTTGCGTCCATGTCTCCATTATTCCCTCTCTCCACCTCCACCGAGTACAGGTCATATTCATCCTAAATGGGAAAAAAAGGACAAAAAAAGAAAATGAACTTTTCAACCACAGAGTTCATCAAAATGTCCACCACACTACGTACGTTCAATTAGTCTTTTTTTCTAAATATATATTTATTTATTTTCAATAAATTCTGTTTTATTACGAACTTTGTCCTAAAACATTCCCATTTCAGAATCCCACTATTGCACTCCCGTCATGGAAGCAGCCATCTTTACTCATTACCGTACGCAGCGTGCGTGCCAAGACATTCATTGGGGTTCTTTAGGAAAAATAATAACAAAGTATTTAACCAGGGAAGATACATTCAGAGACAGGGTTTCAGAGACAAGGAGAGCCATTCTGAGACAAAGTTTCAACTGTGACGTATTCCATAGAAAAATGCCTTTGGTTTCCATGGTGACTGTTCTACAATCTGAGCACCACTTTTTGTACGTAGCTGTCTTTGTGTCTGAATGATGAGTCGTATTTCTCACATGTATATTGAATGTCATTTAACAATTAATAAACAAAATGTGTTTTTTTTGCTAAAATAACCCACATTTTATCTATCAGTATTTATCATACAGTTGTTTTACTGTTTTCTTTTCTCTTTAAAAATCAGTAAAATCAGTAATCAGTAAAAATTCAATAATTCTTACTGAATAACAGGGGTATTCATTAAAGTGAGAATTTAAACTGAAATTTGAAATTGACTTTAATTTCGCATTTTGTTAAATAACCCTGGTAGCCTGCTATATTACATAAATCTACTTCTGAGTAAATAATACTATGCAAACATCAAGGCATGATCTCTAAAATGTACAATGTCACCTGTGCAGTGAAAACAGGATAAAAATTGATAGCTTATCGACAGAAACAGAATGTTCTAAGAATGTTAGCTAAACCTCTGATCTCACTTTTCACTGCTCAAACATGTTAACATATTCTATCAGAGCAAAGCAAATAAATCCTTGGATACAAGGTGGCTTAGAGGTTAATGTAATAGGACATTATTACATTATAATAGAGCCATTAAATAGAGGTCAGGGGGTTTATTCACTAAACAGAGAGGTGGTTTATGGAAACTAACTTTTAAAACTGACGCCATAATATTTGGAATAACTGGACTTGGAGTTATTACTTATATAGTAAGTCTATTTGGACCTGCATTTTGTACCAGCAAAAATATGAATTACAGGACAAATGCTAACAGGACAATTAACTAAGTTGTGGATAGTCAGGAAAATTATGTGAATTTCAACTTTTAGACGATAATTACCAAAAGGAAAACAACGATGACTTAGGGAAAGTTGTCCAATTTGGCAGTTGTGATCTGCAATTTCAAATTTACTTTGATTTCACTTAGAATTTTCAACAATTAACACCATTGTGAATAACACTGTTATGGAAGGCAGACATATATAACATTATTTCATGACAAACTAAAGAACAGTACGATCACAGACACCAAATAAATAACACATCACAAACAGTGAAATCAAACAGCAGAAATGATAAAACAACGAGAACCTCAATAGCAAACGTCTGACAGAGTTATTTACTAAAGTGAGGACTGTCGGAATTCAAAGTGAATTTAGAAAATTTAAGGTTAAAGTTGACAAACTGAAAAATTCAGCTTGGCTTCCAATTTGGGTGGTCTGACCATTAAATTCCCTGTAATTCTCACTATAGTAAATAAACATGTAAAGAATATCTGCTCGTATAACTCATAAAACCACAGACATAAAGTGAAGGTTCCCCAAGAACAGATACACATTAAAAGGTTGGAGTCAGAATATCAGCAGTAGAAGGTTAGTGTCATGGAAGAGTCTGTATGATATCTCTGCAAATGTATCAATGATCCGCGGGGACTTATCCCATGTTATGGACCCCTGAGCAGATAAGTCTCCTGTAAGATAAGTATCTGACTTGTTCCTCCACCACCTCCTCTTTTTATATTCTTGTTCCTCTTTGTGCTACTCTATGTGCAACAACCTTACTGTACATTCCTTTCCCAGTCACCTGCTCTAGACTCTATACTGATAAACTGCAATTTTTAATGACTTAGAAAACTGGTTCTCAACCTTTTTCAGACCAACCCCAACTTCTATAAGAGTAGGTTTTTTAAAAGTCACACCAATGTTTTCTCTTTTTACCGTCCACAGTAGCTTATAAATTGCACATTTACATGAAGCCTTACTAGAAAGACATGCATTTAATATCCAAACTGTAGGAATTAATGGCCAGATGGGAATTCAAATTTTAACGCTGAAACACATTTTGAAATCTAAATTTAAGGATTCAGCCTACTATAGTTCTGACGTCAATCTGATTGTAGCGCACTTTGATGGGGCTCGAGGCACACTAGTTGAAAACCACCGCTCTAGAATAGCAACTAGAATTTGTATCTCTCCGAGCGTTCTGATAGACTTTAGGTTCCGTGGTGTACCTCAGAAAAACTTACCTTCTTCCCCATGTTGGTTGCTTGCTTGGTATTTTAGGGGATTCTGGCCAGGTTGATGGTTGGTGCCAACAAATCTTGGCTGGCACATGGGGCACTTTTTAAAGCCCCAAAACTTCCCCCTCCCAGGTCCTCAGAGTACATCACACGCCCAGCTCACTCTCGACACCTTTACGTCTGTCCCTCAGATCCAATCTCAGGGTGGAGATAAAACAAGGACAATTAGATTGCAAGACTTTCTCCTGCCCTTCAATACCCTCCAGTGAACGAAAACAATGTGTGCCATATCCAGGATCCACGGCAGACTTTAACTGCTCCTGCATTTGTCAGATTAATTAAAATTTTTATAGTGGAATAAGTTATAAGTTTCATTTTCATTTTTTAACAAAGCGATAGCTGCAGTATTATAAAAGTATCAACGCAAGAACAGAAACCTAATGAGAACAAAACAAACAAACAAACATGTGAGGAGTTAGAAATGAGTTCTGTCTTTATTTCCCATGGTCGTTCCTGCAAGCTGTCTGCGTCATAAAAGACTGTGTTCAACTATTAATCATGTCAAACGGCAGATAATAAATTATACAAAGAAACACAACGTAAAATAAGGTTATCCACTAAAACATGAACTATCAGTTAACCAAAACTGTTACATTTCTCCAACGTATTCACCAGTTTTCAAGTTCAAATATTCAGGCTGACAATTTACAATTCTTTTATCATTTCCTGACAGTTCATAGTTTAAGTAAAATTTTATATTTTTGCACAAAATGTCTGTGTTCATTTTACCATTTTGGTTTCTACTACTTTTTTTTTAATACCAACATGCAAAAACCATTTAACCACGTGTTTACAGTTATTTTTTGATACTCAAAGCATTGAAATCATCCATCGAAATAATATTTGTTTGGAGCAAATATAATAGTGATAATCAGTTCCTGATTTTTTTGCAACCTTAGAATTGTTTAATATTATTATTATTATATCTATTATTATTTTGTCTCTACCTGCACTTATGTGCATTTATAAATATATAAATATTAAAATTTCGACTTTAACATAAACACTATTTACATAATTACTCAGTAAATAGATATGTCACTGAGTACCACCTTGCCAACCAAACATAACTCCCCCCTTGTTCCAACCAGTACAAGGCCTTTTCTTGGGCCTTCCATTTCGTAGCCGCTTATTGGCTCAGTAGGCACGTCCGTTATCCATAACTGTACCTGAGGTTAGGGGAGGGACAGCCCTATCCATCCATTCCATGGACCGCTGGTCCAACCTCGGTTGACAAGGGCCATATACTGCCACAAAACCCGCTGGTTTATCCCCTAAATCAGCAGGGCCGCCCCAACACCAAAGCCATGGCCTCCTCCAAAGCATCCTGTGATGCTAAATTACACAGATCCAGTTCAGCCTCTGTCAGGTGGACCCCATCACTCCTAAAATAAATTGCTGCGTTACGCTCAAAAATGCAGGGGGCACCGTGAGCCTCCCCATTTCCTTTACAAACCCTGAAAACTGCTTATTACATTTTATTCTGCTCCGTTCAACAGCCCTGGGGTCTCTTGCCCCCCTCCAATAGTTCCAAGATAGCACCTCGGACCACACCAGACACACCCTCGGGAATCTGAGCCAGAGCTCAGCCAAATCTTTCTGGATCATCTCCCCCAGATCCTACACTGGAATAGTGCCAAGAACGGTCCCCCCAGCATGAATCAGGATAACATCAGGAACACCGAACAGGCCACACAAACGGACCAATTTGGGCAACAGGTGCCCCACTGCATCCCCCAAGTACCAAACCAACAGACTTCTGTCACCGTCGGTCCCCCGGGACGAACTGCAGCTCACTGTTGCACCCAAGGTATGTAGGAATGGCCGATAACCCATATTCGCTTTTTGGCACCTACAACAACAAAAGGGGGAATGGAATCAGTCCAGTTGGAGGCACATATGATCGGAACCTTCCAGATTCCCATGTCCCAAACCTTTGGATAACTTTCTCAGCCAACCCCAGGCAAGATGCCTCGGTGGCAGCCCCTATCCAAAAGGAGTATCCCCCAAACTCTGCACTAGACAGCCCCAAAACCTCCAAAGCCATACGTAAAACCCTGATAAATTGAAACTGAAATAAGAAACTGGCATCCCTGTTGTGACGAGACCAATCTCGCCACATTGCATTGGAGAAGCCTGGTTGCTCGCCTGCTGCCTTTGGACTATGGTCCCCTGTTAAAAGACATCTTTTTTACCTGCAGAAAAGCTTAATTCGTGCTTTTCTGCCTGGGGTTCGGTAGTTTTGGTTGAATGTGTTATACCCCAGATAGGAATCCCATGGAGCCCATTCGTATGAAACTGACTGTAAAGACTTTGGCTCCATGGCGATTAAACTGTATTCGTGTGGTCTGAGTGCCATTCGCTTAATAATGTGCACTCAGACCTGAGCTATCTGGGGATATGTTACATGTCTATGTTTTATGTAATAAATGTTACTTTATGTATTTTAAAGTATAATACTGGTTTTGTATCCCCACATGTGTAATGGAGTTTTTGCCTTTGTCTTGGGAGATAATTTAATTACTTCCCAATTATCTCCCAGGGCAGAGGGGAGGAAGCCAGGATGCATTGTGGGAATATATTGTGACTGTGTGTCCTATTTGTCTACTTGTCTGTCTTTTGTCACAGTCTCCCATTTGGTCCCCAAGGGGAGTGTCCACCAGGTGGGAGACCTGCATAAATACTGGGCAGGTAGCCCTCATTAAACAGACCACCCTTGACCCTCAACACGGAGCCTTGTCTCGTCTTTGGGGGGGGATTTACTGTATGCTGCTAAGGACTGATTGCCAGGAGTGTAAGCCGCTTGGGAGCTTTTCCTGTTCGTCTGGTAGCAGCAATTCGTATGGTTCCTGTTCGTGTATTTGGAGTGCTGTATTGGATGCCGTTCGGGAGTTTGAAGCATTCACTTATTGTATGCAGTTCGAGTGTTTGGAGCATTCACTTGTATGCAGTTCGGGAGTTTGGTGCATTCACTTGTATTCAATTCGTGAGTTTTGGGTGATTCTACAGTAGCTGTGCCTGTATCTCTGGAAAGGGGGCCGATCGCCTAAACGTTTTTTACCCCTTGTGTGCAAAACGGTCCGTTACACCTGTGAACCAACAAAGGAC